TGTCGAATCAGAATGTGAAGCTGAACATGGGATCACGAATGAAGGAGCCTCTTCTGCATTCAAGTGATTCTGATTGATGAGAAGGACGTGAGACCTGCGGGCAGCGGATACGCATGGAGGAGTCGTGAGTGCTGACTGTTGCTACCCGCATGCGCACTTCTTGATCGTACTCATCACTCATCACTCCACACGCGCCGCCCTGGACGCGTCCGCCGTGATCGTGAATCAGCAGCAGCGCGGGCCATCTCGCATCCTGGGTCACGTGGAGGCACAGTGAACCTCGCCTCACGTCAAAGTGCTCTGGATTCGTGATTGCATTCGTGACCTAGTGATTCAAATTGCTGCACACATGAGGTCAGAGTCACATCCACCAGCTTCCTCTCGAGCTTTGTCTGATCTACCCGCCTTGCTACTCCGGGCTCTTGCGAGGACCGCTGATATTGTGTCCCCGCTCAAACTCACATGCTCGACATGAAAGTTGGCGGGTAGTCGCACACAGCAGCCAAGCGATCCTTCGGCACACCGCCGACAGGCCATTCGGCCCGCACCGCACTTGCACAATGGCCGAAGCTCAATTGGGATCAGCGCGCTTTCTCCTATCCTTGTCGAGTCTGCGCCCAGCTGCGATTCCGTCTTTACTAAACTCGTCACCTCAGCTTCCAGCTGCTCTCACAAATACGCTTGCATGGCTGGCTGCCCAGTCCATCGATTTTGGCTCGCAGCGCCGTCCTCAAGGTCAAGAGGCTGTTTTGATATCTCAGGATGTTGGAAACTCTTCGTACGAATTCGTGCATCTGCTTGTGAGGGTGTTGCATGAAGGAGATCCTACGCTTATCAGGATGCTCCTGCCGCAAGCAACCACGCTCCTCCACCTCCTCACCGTGGTGCACCTTGCCCCTCATTCTGGGCATGCTCGAAGCATCAAGGGACGAAAACTCGCCCTGTCCGGCCTGCGCGCCATCTTCAGGCGAACACTCACCCCTGAAGAGATCGCGCATCTCGTACGAGCCGCCATTGATGGACTGCATGATGACGAAAGTTGTGGCAGCGCTGCGGCCTGCCTTAGCGCACTACTCCGTGTCATCTCCAGCAAAGCCTTGCCCAATGATGAGTGGGGGAAGATGAGCCTCGAAATACAGACAGCAGCACAGCGCATATACGCCCCTTCGAACCAAGCAGGTGGCTCAGCAGAACATGACTGGAGTGCCTCCACAAAAGCCCTAAACATTCATCTACAAGACGCAGCGGCGCTTCTCGCGGCACTTCGTGGCGAACCAATCAAGATCGATGGCGATGCTACCATCAAACATAGGCAAGAGCTGACCACGCTTGGTCATGGTCTTGCGCAATCCATCCAAAGACCAGGAACCTTGCCAGTTCGACCTCACGCCTCGACCCTCGAAGCTGCTTCTCAAAGCTCACCCGAGACGTCCAGTGAACGAGTACAGCTTGATGCGCTGCTTAATGTCTTGCCGCATATATCGCGGAGCAATCTCCTAGGCAAGCTGCGGTCGGACCCCAGATACGCGGCAAGATCGAATGAGCAGATCATCGAACTGCTCTTAGATGATCCGGATGGTGCTCAGACCGCAGCATCGCCACGATCGGCGTCTCACATTGCTCTGCCTCCAGGCGCAGAAAGCATTTCACCCCCAAGAGTCGCCAAAAAGCCAATCAGCCCACTGCGCGAGTCTAGAGCGCGGTTCAATTTCGATCCTTCTCGCTTCTTGAACCGCGATGGGAACAGGTCATCGAGCGAGCAAGGACTTTCCGAGGAGCTCAAGCGTCTGACGATCGCGCGCGCGGAAGCCCCGAGCTCAGACGAATCAGATGTCGATGACTTTGGCGTTGCCCGCGATCGGGCAGTTGGTTTTGAGGAGGAGCTTGAGACAGAAACTGAGCAACCTCAAGATCGAAGGCGCGGCATCTCCAAGCTCTTTGGCATGGGTGCGAACGCTTCTCGATTCGCAGAAGACTACTCGACTTTTGACGAGGACACGGAAGCGGAGGATGAGGATAATGAAGACCACGAGACACGTGCACCGGCCGGTGCAGCTGCTGTAAACACTGCTGGCAGACAGATTGTCGGCTCTTCAAACAAAGGGAAGGCTGCCGTTTCTGATGCCACAGCGCTGCAGCTTCATTACCTCCATCACGGCGCTAACGCGTTTGCGGGCAGCGATGCGAATCGCAGCAGTAAGCAACGGAGGGACCTACTCGCTAGTCTAGGTGGCTCGTGGGAT